CTCACACACATACACACTCTCACACACATACACACACACACTCTCTCACACACTCTCTCACACACATACACACTCACACACATACACACACACACACACTCTCACACACATACACACACATACACTCTCTCACACACTCTCTCTCACACACTCTCTCACACACACATACACACAGATACACAGAGCCACTCCAGGGGAAGTCATCCTTCTTCGAGGCTTGGGAGCAGGGCAGGCAGTGGGAGTTGTCTCCCGGGTGCTGGGCTTGGGCATGCGGCTCCACTTTCCTATCATCCACTATGCAAACTCCTCCGTGAGAATCCGTATCCACTTGGGACACTGAAGCACCCACGGGGCCTTGGAGTGAAGTTCCAGGACCCTGGGAGAGGCAGCACCTCTTCCTGGCTTCTCCAGCCAGCAGGCCCCAGGGTTCCCGGGGAAGACAATATGGTTTGGGATGGTCTGGGAGAGGACATGGGAAGGAGCCGGGTCCTGGCTGGGCTGTTTCAGCTGGAAGAGCATCAAGGTGAGTGCTCAGTGGTGAGTGTCAGAGTCATGCCTGAGTTCGGGAGTCCTTACCTCTTCAGGTCTGCTCAGGGCATGGCCCTCGGGACCCGTGATGCCCATGTCTAGGATCCGCTTTTGTTCCTACAAGACAAGAACGAATGAGTCAGTGATTAGAGGATGCCAGAGCTGGGAGAAGTGACTCCTCCAACCCCCTGGTTAGACAGAGGGGACAGCTGGGTCCCAAAGAGGTGAGTGGCTTGCACCAGGTTAACAGTGTGCTGGGTGGGGGCAGTGACCTGTGTCCCCTCCACTACACACCCATCCACCTTCCCCTTTGCAGCCCTGCATGGCTCCATCTGCACCTGCTTTATATTGAATCTCCCTGGATCAATGAGAGGCAGCAGGATTATAAGACACGAGCTTCCAAGACCACCCACCACCCTCTCGATCTCGGAGTCTCCCTGCAGGGCTCTCCTCTGGGAAGAAACGTGGTGTTTGGGTACAACATGGATATCTTCAACTAGGAATCCTACTCTAGTCTTTGACATTGAAATCAAAGGTCCCAAAACTGGAAGTCCAGATCCAGAACAGCCTCCTCTGTGACTTTGGGCAGGTTGGTCAAGCTCTCTGAGCCTCAGTCTTCTCTTCTGTACACTGGGGATACCAGTGCTTGTATTGCAGAGTGACCGCTGATCAGATGAGCGAGCACACGAAACACGTTCAGCACAAAACCTGATGAGCGAGCGCCCGCTCATTAATCGGCAGCCGGCTCTCATCTCTACTTCAGCTGCCTCTTTTTGGCATCTGTCTTTCTGGCAGGAAACCACTACCTCAAACTTATCATATAACCTTGAAATGGCTCCCTGAGCTGATGGCCCAGATTCAAATCCATCTGGCCCAAAGTTGCTTTGTCCCAGGAACACTTTAATTTCTAAAAAAAAAAAAAAAAAAAAAAAAAGTTTGACATTGCCCAGATGCCAGCTGTGCTGTTGCTAATTTTAACTTCCTCAGTGTGTGTGTCATTGTTCTTGGACATGACCCCGTCATGAACCCCGGGCCCCATCAACCATGAAAGGAAATCACAATTTCAACTGTGCGTCTGTGGTTATTACGCTCGAGGCTGTTACAAGAATATAAATGGGAAACCATTTCAAAGTCTAACAGCTGGGTAGATTTAAGTAAACAATGGAATAATTTCAGCTACTGAAGACGCTGTTTACAAAGCATTTTTAGAAAATGTTTACAAAAGGATCTTAGAATACCGAGAAATCCCTATGTGAAATTGTTTAGATGTCAGTTACCATTCTGGAAGGAAAGAGGAAGTAAGGAGGGGGAGGGCAGGGGAGGGAAGGGGAATAGAGAGAAGGGGAGGAAGGGAAGAAAGGCAGGAGGGAGGGAGGAGAGGGGAAGAAGGGAGGATGAAAGATGACATAATGAGGAAAAACAAAAATGAGAGTAGGATTTCTAGTCGAAATAACGGACTACACATATGCATTTGTTTCACTGCCTTCCAAAACACACTGAAGGCACAACAGAAAGAGATACACAGGAACCAAGAAAATACAGAGAAGACCACAGGAACAAAATGTTGAAAGCTGGAAAGCAGATGTCCAAAAGATGTGCTGCAGCTGGAACAGCGAAATCTCTGCTAGCAGTGAGGGCAGTGAGGAGAGCCAAGCCCCTGATGTGTCACTCAGGAGCTGGGGGCTGGGCCTCTGCCACACTGGTGGGGGCGCGAGTGCACGTTGGAAAACTGTGTAGTAGTAACCACCAAAGCTGAATCTACACACACCCAGCCATTCCTCTCTTAGGTATATACCAGCGAAAGATGTGAACCTATGTTTAATAAAAGGCTGAACAAGAGTGGAGCAAGAACAAGCACCAAAGCCTCACGCATCACGGTCCCAAATGTGAAACTATCCAAATATCCAACAACTGGAGAACACACTGTGCAGATTCATGCAATGGAATTCTACACAGCGATGAAATAGGAAAAGCTAGTGCTACGCCTGGCCAAAGGATGGATCTCACATGCCTCGGATTGAGCAAATGGACCCAGACATAAGAGTGTGTGTGTGCTGTATGGTTCCATTTTTAGAAAGTTTAAAATCAGCTAAGATTTGTGTGGCAGCAACTTCTAAGACGACTCCCAGTGATCCTGCCTCCTGCTTTTCAAGACTCTGCAGGGTCCCCTCCCCTGGATTATGGGCTGGACCCAGCACCTTGCTTCTGATGAGCAGAGCAAGACAAAAGGGTTGGGCCGTCACTCCCAAGGTCAGGTTACAGAGACTCTGGCTGCCGACCTGCTCACCTATTGCTCTTTGGTTAATCTGCTCTGAAGGAAGCCGCCTCGCTGGGGCTGCCCATGTGCAAGGAACTGAGGGAGGCCTCTGGCCAGCAGCCAGCAAAGAACAGACCATCACATTAGCCTGACAGCTAGCAAGGAGCTAAATCCAGAAATACACCACCTACGAGAGGCTGGATGCAAATCCTGCACGAGTTGAGCCTTGAGATGCTCACCGCCCCACCTGCCACTCACTATGGCCTGTGAGAGACCCTCAGCCAGAAAGAGCTGAGCTGCACCTGGAGTCCGGACCCATAGGACCATGAGATAATTTGCTTTAAGATGCTATGTTCTGAAGTAATTTGTTATGCAATCATGGATGACTAGTACAGGTTTTGCTACCAGAAGGAGGGTGTTACCATAAAAGATATCTAAATATATGGAAGAGGCTCTGGAACCAGGCAGAGAATGAATTCTGAAACAGCATTTTAAATAGCCTTGAATGGACTCTAAGAAGAAATAGGGCCTCTGAGGACATTGCCAGTGAGTCCCCACAGGAGGCGAGAAGCAGCCATCAACAGTCTTGGGATGAAACCAAGGATGTGACTCTACAGTCCCTTGGTAAGAACTCAGAAAGGTGAGGGGTGGTGCCTCCCAGTGTTATCAGTCACAGTAAAGAGATCCTTTAAATAGGAACCCTTTAGGCCGGGTACAGTGGCTCATACCTATAATCCCAGCACTCTGGGAGGCTGAGGCAGGCAGATCACTTGAGGTCAGGAGTTCGAGACCAGCTTGGCCAACATGGTGAAACCCCGTCTCTACTAAAAATACAAAAATTAGCCAGGCTTGGTGGCGCATGCCTACAGTCCCAGCTACTCGGGAGGCTAAGGCACAAGAATCAGTTGAACCCAGGAGATGGGGGCTGCAATGAGCCAAGATTGTACCACTGCACTCCAGCCTGGGTGACAGAATGAGACTAAGTCTCAAAAAAATTAAAAAACACATTTTTTTAAAGAGACATTTCAAAGAGATGAAGGCTATGCCTGTGGACCGTCTCAGTCAAACTACAGGGCCTCTAGGAAGCTTGCCGTTGTGTCTCTCAGCTCTCTCATCAGGGTAGCAGAGGGATTATCTGGAAGAAATTGGTAGGTGCCTTTTGTCTTACGGCGTGAACCCCAGTGAGATTCACAGGAGGCCCACAGATTTTTAGGAGAGTTGCCTTAGCAAAATACTGGAAGCTGAGACTGAACACAGGCATGTGATACGAAAAGAAGCAGTTGGATCCCCAAAACTCTTTTTATTTTTTTGAGACGGGGTCTCACTGTCACCCAGGCTGGAGTGTAGTGGCATGATCTCATCTCATTGCAACCTCCACCTCCCACATTCAAGTGATTCTCCTGCCTCGGCCTCCCAAGCGGCTGGGATTACAGGCACCTGCCTGGTTAGTTG